AATAAATTACACTTTACTATATTTATGTAACCCTTGGCTAAATGTATTACAAAAACTGACTACGCCACCTAGGTTACTTCTCCACCCAGGAAAGTAAAAAAATAAACCCCAAAGGAATTACAAAAATAAGAAGGACCCTGCTGGTTCAGATGGCGTCAAAGACAGAGACGTGACTTCAAAAGTATACAAAGTTTATTTTGTACGAGGGACATTAATTTTAAAACATCTAAAAATAGGTCTCATACACAATTACCAATTAAATACCCACAGCAAATAAGAGACCGTAATTAATCCGCAATAGCTGAAGAGACAAACCACACAACAATCAGTGAACAAAATCAAAGCAAGTGATAAACAATTCAAAAGAAACCAAACAAAAAAAAGCAAATACACTCTCCTCTTCAGCTAAGCCTCATATCACAGGTCAAATCATTCACATGTGGACATACCTGGCAAATACAGTGTTCAAGATCAAAGAAAGGAAAAAAAGAAAGAAAAATACATCAACACAATTAATCTTTAAAATTGTTCCGGCTGCTGTTACAGACCAAACTTCTCGTTGTTCTAGTTCACTTTAATAGTCCATATAAAACACGCATGCCCAATAATTCAGCAACCCTCATACAGACCAGTCAGGGCAGAGACTGTGGAAGAGCTCGGTCACTACAGCGGTTCGAAACCGCAAACGTCCAATCACTACAGCCAGCCGACAAACAGCGACACCACGAGTATAGAACCCCTAAGAAAACAGCAGCTAGCGCTCTGGACCACACCTGAAATGATACAGTAACAGCACAAAATAGTGTATCAATTTCTAAAGAGTTCCCCCTTCAAGAATTAAGAAAGACCCCAATAATTTGTCTTACCTCAAAGTGAAAGATCAATTAGGCTACAGTAAGCTTTATGCAACCTGCGCTCGCCACTGCACGCACATCCCTAATGACAACACATATTTAGACGGTGATCTATAACTGGAGAAGAGCAATAAGTCAAAGGACTCACCAGGGAATAGCTACAGGAAATATCACCATTTAGACTTTTGTTACACGCAGTACGGAGAAGAATGACAATGATGCCTTTAGACAAACTTTTTATAGAGCCACCGGGACCCAACAAACCTCCCTAATTGAGCCACACAGGTGTATTCAATATCGTGCCGTGGCTCAATTCCGCTGGGCGTGTCTTCCCATTAAAACAACTCAGAAACTCTTAACCGGTCACATTCTACCCCCTAGTTTTTAAATTCGTCGACCCGACGATATTAACTCCAAGGCCTAAAAAGAGTAGAAACCCCCCTAGCAACAGTTACTTGCGAATTCACACTGCCCCTTCTGCCTCCCATTGTCTCTGGCAAATGATGGGCATTGGAATGGTAGCCTGCGTTTCTTCGGGTGGTTCGACGTAGCAGTGGTCTTACAGTAGTGGTGGTACCCTCTGATGCCACTAAGGGATTACCAGGCAAAAGAGTCATGGACCAGAGGAGGCTCCGGAACTCTACCCGATGACAAGGGGACACCGTCAGGGCTGTGGGGTAGGAGTGGAGCACAACTTGAAGGTGCCTGAACAGCAATGGGTACCGTCACCGGAGGGACCTCCCGCTCTGTGGACACTACTAGCCAAGTTTCATCCAATAGATCATCCTCGCCAGAGTCCACCGATGATTGATCAGAATTCGAAAGGAGAGGATTACGAGGCTCTGACAAATTCTGGCCAGCTGGTTGAGCTCTTAACAAAGTACGATGCACATGTCTAACTTTTTCCAAATCTTCAACAGGAGCAATTGTGTACACTGACCCGCCTGATGTCGGGGCTCGCAGCACTTTATAAAGAACAGAACTCCAGCGGTCTTGGATCTTTGCCCGGCCTCGCACACAAAGGTCCCGCAGATACACCAACTGGCCTTGGCTCAAAGGATCATCCTGTACCCGCCGATCATGACGCTCTTTTCTACGTTCCGCTGCAATCTTCATGCGACTTCCAGCTCCGTCAAAGGCCACTTGAAGTCTAGCTTGATGGTCATAAATCCAGTCATGGACACTGCCCTGAGTAGGAGTCTCAATTCTACCCAAGAGGAAGTCAATAGGCAATTGTGGATCTTGCCCAAACATTAAAAGATATGGCGATTCACCCGTAGACTGATGTGGGGTAGTGTTGTAGGAGAAAACCAGTTGAGGGAGATATGCTGCCCAGTTCTTCTTCTTGCAAGACGGTAGAGTACGCAGCAGATTGTGCAGAGTGCGATTAAATCGCTCGCATTGACCATTTCCAGTAGGATGGGCTGGGGTGGTCCGACTCCGTTCAATGCCATACAATGCACACAACTGATGAATAAGGGTGCTTTCAAAGTTCCTCCCCTGATCCGAGTGGATGCGACTGGGAACACCAAACTTGTAGAACCACTCATGTACCAACACCTTTGCCACCGTAGAAGCTCTCTGGTCACGGGTAGGTACAGCCTGGGTATATTTAGAAAACACATCCGTCAGCACAAGAACATTCTCCATTCCGTTCTGTGATGGTTCAATCAGGGTGAAATCAATGGCCAGAATTTGATTAGGCTTTGAAGCCAATAAATGACCCATATAGGTCTGCACTCGAGGGAAAACATCCTTGGCAACAGTACAGCGTTCACATTGGTGGCACCAACGCTTCACATCCTCACTCATACCTGGCCAGAAACACCTTTGTCTCACCAGCTCTGTTGTACGTTCCACGCCCTGATGGCCATGCTCATCATGAAGCTGCTGCATCACTATAGTCTTCAACGATGTTGGGAGCAAGAGCTGAAGAAAGGCCTCGCCGCCCTGGGAATGGTGACACTGACGGTACAACACACCATCCTTCACTTGTAATCGTTTCCACTGTTTCAAGAGTTTACCTACATCAGCACACAATCCCTGCTGCTCTTCACGTAACGGGTATCTCCCTCTCCTCCACAGCTTCAGGAATTCTCCCAATACTGCATCTGCCTCCTGTAGCTTGTGTAAATCTGCCGCAGAATAGCCAGGGAAAGCGGTAATGGATGCTTGTACGCCTCTCTGAGGTCTGATAGAAGCGACTTGTTGGAGGGACTTTGGCAGGGAACTTCCCGGAATCATATTCTCAAGCACAGGTCCAACAGGATGCTGTCGGGAGAGTGCATCGGCATTCCGATTACTTCGTCCAGAACGATACCTAATGCTGAAGTCAAAAGCAGCGAGTTGTGCAGCCCACCTTTGTTCTAGAGCACCAAGTTTAGCGGTATTAAGGTAACTCAGAGGATTATTATCAGTGTAGACCACACACTTCTGTCCCAGTAAGTACTCACGAAATTTCTCAGCCATTGCCCATTTAAGGGCAAGAAATTCCAATTTCATGGAACTATAATTGGACATGTTCCTCTCCGAAGGCCTCAAACCACGACTGGCATAGGCTACTGGTCGAACTCTGCCCTCCTGCTCCTGCGACAGAACTGCTCCCAATCCGCTATAACTGGCATCGATTTCTAAGATAAATGGCAAAGAGAAGTCAGCGTACGCCAACAGGGGAGCACTCACCAACCGTTGCTTTAGGGCATCAAAACTTCGCTGACACTCCTCTGTCCAAACCTCCACACAGGACCGGGCTGGGCCCTTCCTCTTAGCTCCGGACAGGTCAGCTACTAAGCGATGAAGCGGGGCAGCCAGTTTTGCAAACCCCTCCACAAACCGTCTATAGTAGCTGGCGAAGCCAAGAAACGACCGAAGTTCTGAAACCTGTTGTGGAGGCGGCCAATTAGCAACTGCCTCAATTTTCTTCGGATCTGTACCCACCCCTTGGGCAGTAATCAAGTGCCCCAGGTAGTTCACCTCAGACTGAAAGAACGAACACTTCTCCAATTTGACCTTCAAGCCTTCCTGTTGTAGACGCTTCAGGACCACCTCCAGCCGCTGCAAATGCTCAGACACTGAGGAAGAGAACACGATGACATCATCTAGATAAAGCAACAAAGATTGAAAATGCTGCGAGCCAAACATGCGCTCCATCAGTCTCTGAAATGTACTAGGTGCATTGCACAGGCCGAAGGCCATCCTATTCCACTCATATAACCCAAAAGGGGTGCAGAAAGCAGTCTTCATCCTGTCCTTCTCAGCCACGGGGACCTGATTATAGCCACTAGCAAGATCCATTGTTGTGAACCACCTGGCACCTGAGAGAGCGTCCAAGGACTCCTCAATTCTAGGTAATGGAAATGAGTCCTTTCTGGTCTTACTGTTCAGTTGACGATAATCAACGCACATTCGCAGGCTACCATCCTTTTTTTTCACTAGGACAATGGGAGATGCATAGGGGCTACTACTCTCTCTTATAATTTGATTTTCTAGCAACTGATTAATATGAGCCTTAACGGCTTCGTATTCTGAGGGAGGAATACGTCGGTAACGCTGTCTAACTGGAACCTCATCAATCAGGGGAATATCATGTGTGATCAAAGAAGTACAGCCCAAATCGCTGTCATGTGCTGAACACACAGAAGAGTACTGAGATAATAAAGCCCTGACCTCACACTGTTCTTCAGGGGTCATTGGAGACAGATCCAGAGAATCTATCTTGTCTTGTATGGACCTAAAGTCATCTGAGAAGAGATTGTGGCCTGTACACTCAGGGGAACATCCTCTACACCTTGGGGTAAACTCACCACAGTTACTGGACTAATGGTACCAAGAACGGTTCGTCCATAGAGGTTAACATCCACTACTCCTACATTAATTACAGGAATATAAACCTGTCCCCGAACTACCTTAACAATGGCAGGGGAAGTCAGAAGACCAGCTGCTAACCCACCACTAGAAGGCTCAAATACTACCGTCAACCCTGTATGTTGCTGAGAACAAGTGGCTGCAATAAACTTCATGGTACCACCAGGCATCCGAATACACCTACCTCCTCGAACCCGAACTCGGGCCGGAGAATCTGAAGGGGCCTGAACTTGAACTTGATGGCACTTCTGTAGGGCTTGTTGCCAAGGATTAGGGGCCTGCTGCACTAAAGTGGTTTCAAAGAGAGTCGGCCCATACTGCCCAAACAATTCATGATAACATTCTCGAATAACATTCATGCCCAAAATACCAGAGACCTGAGTAGAAGTACCTGGACAATCTTTAACTATGAGCACGCCACGTTTAGGAATCACTTTACCAAAGACTTCCACATCCAGTTCCAAATAGCCTATATAGGGAATATCTAAGCCATTGGCAGCCTTAAGCTGCAACCAATGACATGAGTGAAGTTTTTCTAAACCCCAGGGCTTAAAGTTCTTCAAATAAAAACTTTCAGTCACCGTCGACACCATGGAGCCAGTGTCTAACAAACAGGGGACTAAGACCCCACCAACATTAACGGTCACGTGGGGCATGGTGACAATAAAGGGGTTGTGTGCTCTACATCAGGAAAAACAGCATCTGAGCCAAACACATACCCTTCTGAACTGTGGCTCAGGAGCACAGAAGGTTCTAGTTTTCCTGAAAGCTAACAGAGGGCTGGGGCCGTAACACTTCTGGCTGTAGGTGACGTAAGGTGGTGGGGTTACCCCTTGATGACCAATTTTGAGAAGTACATTCACGGGCAAAATGGCCAGGCTGTTGACACTTTCTACAGATAACTGAACTCCTATTAAAAGTACTTGAAGGCACACTTGGGGCATTTTGAAGTGAAGTCACATTACGGGTTAACTGATCGAGCTGCTCTTGCTGCTTTTTAAGCATCTCTTTTAGCTCCTGTAATTCTGAGCTTGAAGCTGGCGCTGACCCATAAACCCCATACTGCAGCCCATAAGTAGAAGAGGTTGATAGACTACGATCCCTGGTAGACCTGGCTATACCCTCACGTTCCCATCTAATGGCTTCCCCCCGAACATCAAGTAAGGTAGCCCTAGGGTTTTGGCGTACTAGCTGTTTCAATTCCCTTCGAAGGGCAGAATCTAAAACATACAACAAATTGGTCACGCAAAAGAACCTCAGAATTAGGCATACCATTTGGAGCATTTTTAATTACCTTTGACATCAAGCCAAAAAGAGCATGTGAAAATTCCTGAAGTGTCTCCCCCTCTAGCTGTCGTCGAGAGAAGAAACTCTCCTGCAAAACAATATATGAATCCGGGCAGCCGTACAGCTCGGTAAGTATTTGAATAACTTTATCTGGATCTTCCCGGTCTTCACTAGGCCTAAATTTTATTTCCTCCCTAGCTTCCCCCTCTAAATGGTCATACAGGAAGTGTGCTTTGTCAATATTGGATAAGTGGCAAAGACGCATACTGGCCTTCACTTCCTCTAGCCAATCAGCCAAAGAAATTCCGGTGCGCCCTCTAAAAACAGGACATTTCCTCTCCCTAGGGACATAAATTAACCTTTCCGTCACCACTGAATTGCCATTGGAGGAAGACCTTGGGCCCGTATCAGGTGCCGCCCCCTATGATTAGACTCAGAGGGCACCACACTAGGACTTGCCTGGACCTCAGAACGTTCTTGCCGCAGGCGTTCATTATCAGCCTTAAGTTCGGCCACCAAGTCTCGCAATTGCTGCATCTCATCCTCCATAGTGACAGTCTAAATGACAGAAAACACAAGAGAGAGGAAAGTACAAGAACTCTAATGCGCTAGCTGCTGTTTTTTTTGTTGTTTTTTTTTTTTTTACAAAAAAAACAAATTAATATCACACAAAAAAACAAAACAAAAAAACATTAAAGTCACGTCTTGCTTTACACGCCAATCGATAAAACCCTGCCGGCTGCGCCAAGATTGTAACCCTTGGCTAAATGTATTACAAAACTGACTACGCCACCTAGGTTACTTCTCCACCCAGGAAAGTAAAAAAAATAAACCCCAAAGGAATTACAAAAATAAGAAGGACCCTGCTGGTTCAGATGGCGTCAAAGACAGAGACGTGACTTCAAAAGTATACAAAGTTTATTTTGTACGAGGGACATTAATTTTAAAACATCTAAAAATAGGTCTCATACAGAATTACCAATTAAATACCCACAGCAAATAAGAGACCGTAATTAATCCGCAATAGCTGAAGAGACAAACCACACAACAATCAGTGAACAAAATCAAAGCAAGTGATAAACAATTCAAAAGAAACCAAACAAAAGAAAGCAAATACACTCTCCTCTTCAGCTAAGCCTCATATCACAGGTCAAATCATTCACATGTGGACATACCTGGCAAATACAGTGTTCAAGATCAAAGAAAGGAAAAAAAGAAAGAAAAATACATCAACACAATTAATCTTTAAAATTGTTCCGGCTGCTGTTACAGACCAAACTTCTCGTTGTTCTAGTTCACTTTAATAGTCCATAAAAACACGCATGCCCAATAATTCAGCAACCCTCATACAGACCAGTCAGGGCAGAGATTGTGGAAGAGCTCGGTCACTACAGCGGTTCGAAACCGCAAACGTCCAATCACTACAGCCAGCCGACAAACAGCGACACCACGAGTATAGAACCCCTAAGAAAACAGCAGCTAGCGCTCTGGACCACACCTGAAATGATACAGTAACAGCACAAAATAGTGTATCAATTTCTAAAGAGTTCCCCCTTCAAGAATTAAGAAAGACCCAATAATTTGTCTTACCTCAAAGTGAAAGATCAATTAGGCTACAGTAAGCTTTATGCAACCTGCGCTCGCACCACTGCATGAAAAGTGGGATTTTCGTCAGTAACGGCACTGTAGATTGTCGTGGAAGTTCAGGTTTACGACTGCACACGGCAATTTACAGGTAACACTCAAAACTGCTGTGAATTGCCGAAATTGACGTGGGCCTTGCTTGGCAGTTGTCCCCCCATTGTCCCCCCTTCTCCTAAATCTAGAGGAGGCTTTGACATGTAAATGAAAATGCTGTGAGCTATACACATGCAAATAAGGGTAGGGGATTTTCACCCCAGGTAACATTTTTCTGAAAGGTATAACTTCATTCTAAGACAAGATCTGGCTCAGTATAACCTAATTGCTGTGTTTTTTTGTTTTTTTTTTAACATTGCACATAATGCACAACAATTACAACAATAACATGACATCCAAAAAGATAACAATCAACAAATAATAATTTCACAATAAATAAGAAACAAATAAAAATAGGACAGAATTGAACAAATGAAATTAAAACAGGAAAAGGGACTATCTCTATTGTGTATAATATTATGATTTAAGAGAAAGTTAGAAACCAGTAATTTGTACTATTTAAAGAAAGAAATTAGCTTCAATTAGCTTCAATATTCTTTAGCAAATACAATTGTATCACTACATTTTTATCGATACATTTGAGAGACAGAATATACTGAAAACTAAAAATTAGACCAAAAAAAAAACTTCAAACAAGGTTTAGAATTATTCATTTTACTCTTATGAATATGAAATTTTCCTAATAAAATTATAAGATTCATCATAACATTTAAGGAAGAGGTTTTCAAAATATATGATAACATCTTTGATGTTAATTCACAGTTATAAACAGATGTTTTTTTGTTTTTTACAATTTTTTTACTGGTTTATTTATTTTAAGTAACCTAATAAAGTTATTTATTTATGCATATATGTATTTTTACATTTCATGGTAGCCTATTTAGGTATATCCACCTTATTCCTAATTTAAAATGAACTAACAGCAGCAGAAAAGTCAAGGACAGCCGGCGACAGCCTTTCAACCTGAGTCAAAAACCAGTGAACGTAACTCTGATTGGCTGAGGCAGCATATCGTCATAATCCAACCTGTAACGTCAGCCACTCTGATTGGCTGAGGCAACGTGCCAGGCATGTGGCGTGTTTTTTAAGCAGAAAGTAACTACACAGATATTCAGCCTGCTTCGCCGTCATGATCGCTGGGGAACCCATCTTTTCCTCTAAATTGAAGGTAAGTTCGTCCAGCTTAGTGAATTCTATGTCCATGTCTACTTATAGTTTTTGGTAGTTTAGCGTTTTTGTCTTAAACTTCACAAATCGGCTGTGATTACTGCCGCGAATGTCCAAGGGTGTTAACCTAACGGAACAGTTTTGTTTTTGCGTTAGCTTGCTGCTCTTAATTCTTTTTTTGTTTCATTTCAATTTGAACAAATTTGGGACACTAAACTGTACGTTGGGTTGCACGTTGTTATCTGGCTGCAAGTTAGCTACCATTCTTTGATAGTAATCAAACTAACTCATTTACTCTGAATATCGTCAGAAATTATGAAAAAATAATAAGTGCCAGGGTCCTAAAACAAAGCGCGTAATGTGCTTGTATGCTCTAGTGTAGGCTATCCTTGTTTGTAAAATTGCATCACTTTGTGTGATGAGTGAAATCTTCAGATGTTTGTGATTTGTTTTGTCTCTCAGGGGCTGTTAGGAGTGAGGTGTCCTTCGCTGATGGAGAAAAAAACACCTAAATAAGGTAACGTTACGTGTTGTGATCTCATCCTCTTTTCTTTTGAACAGACCCCAGTCAAATAAAAAGTAAAACTAAACTAATTTGGATTAACGTCTGTGTTTATAGATGACTTTGAGCGTGAGACAGTGGTGTGAAAACGCCAAAGAGAACTGGAACATGGCATGTTGTATTCAGTTATAAATGTTTGACCAAGTTTTTAAATATCTTATAAATCTGTTCAGTTTCATCATTTGATAATAACTTTTTAAAACACATTTTTTTTGTGGTATAGATGCAGTGACTGAGACTGGGAGATGCAGTGACTGAAACCTGGTGGTAAGTGTTATTGGCAGTGGAGAAGACATTTTAATAGACACATTCTCTCTTATGAGCTAGCAAACTTTGTTATTCTAATTAGAGTATTGTAAACATCACCAAATGTGTTCGTTTATTTCAGTGTTCCAGAAAAAGGTCCTGAAACTACTGGTCGACATCCGCCATCGCCTGAAGGAAACCAGGTAGTGGATGCAGAAGAAACATATTTTTGCTTACAAATGTGGGAACTTGGGGCAGATTGCCTTTGCATACATCTAAATCATTTGTCTTTTTCAACTTTGCAGAAGGGGTCATGAAATTCGGTTCCACCGCCACTGAGGTGTATGTACATCAAGGTGAACCTCAAGCACGCGTCGCAAAGACTTAAATTCACTTCGCCCTGATGAGCCAAGCCTACAGGACTTGAATTAAGAGTTTTAAAGGGATAGTTCACTTTGAAATTATTTTTTGAAATGTTTTGGCTTACGTCAAGGGCATCAGTCAGTCATATAATGGAAGTCTATGGGGATCTCTTAAAAGAGCATAAACAGAGAAGTACAAATTAAACATGATTTAATGAATCATAACTGTAAGTACACCTTGATGGCTTAAGATACGAGACGAGCGGTTTGTGTGAGAAAATGAACAGTGTGTGTGTGTGTATATATATATATATGATCTGCGCATGCGGTGGAAACCGCCAGAAGCGATCTTGCACTGGTACGTCACTCATTGTTTACACAGATTTCGGAAGTTTTACTGTGAAGATCTAAACATATTAAGATGTATTGCATTTTGTGTATATCTAAATATATATATATATATATATATATACACACACACACACACATTTATACAATATAAATACTGTTTGTTTTCTTTCCCAAAACGCTCATTTCGTGTCTTAGTCAATCATTGTGTACTTAATTTATGAGTCATTAAATCATGTTTAATTTGGTCTTCTCTGTGCATGCTCTTTGAGGTGGTGACCATAGACCTGCATTATATGACTGACAGACAACAACAGTTTGACCTAAAAATATCAAAATTGAAAATACTGTGGAAACAAAACCACCTGCATCTTGGATGCCCTTGAGATAAGATAAAACATATCAAAAATTTATTTCAAAGTGAACCATACCTTTAAATTACATCCTTATTATTCGTTCATAATTCTGGCTCCACTGTACATTGTGTTTGATATATCTGGTGCCCAATTCTGATGCCATTCAGGGCAATTTATTTTTGAATAGAGATGCAATATATTATTGATTTATTTGTATAACTGTAGTGCTGTATGTATGTATGTTGTCCCATGTTTCCAGAGGGTGGAGGACATGTTTTCTGTGCTTTGAAAGATGTTCTCCTATGCTGTGTACATAGTTTTGTGTTTGTTCTAATAAAGCTATTTCTTTGAATAAACAGTATGTGGCAAATGTTCCTTTCCTCAATAAATTCATGTCCTTGATGGTAATAATAATTTAGTCCATAGGATAACAATGACATGAATAAACAACATAATAGCATATCATATGAATATATATATATATGATTATTATTATTATAATTTTATGTCGGCTGACCAATAGTAACAGATCTGCCAACCAATCACGAGTGATTTTCTTGTTTAAATGTAGTGAATTTCAACCAATACTGAGTGAGGAAATTCAAGCCATTCTCTGGCAAGGCGCGCGCAGTGCTGCTATTCATATGCTAATTAGGGCCATTCGCACCTCCGCGAGCGCTGCATGCATACGTCATGGTTCGTTTCCGTCAATATGTGGCACAGTGGAACGCGACGTTCACAGTCTGTAAATTGTCGTTAACTGCCGAAAATTAGGGAGATTTCCGGCAGTTTACGGGGACGAAAATCCCA